CTGCGGAGACAAGACAGTAAACAGAGTCCTGATGAGACCAGCTGATACGCTCAAGATCTCAGTATGTTTCAAACTGTCTAAAACTCTGCTGGGGAGTCATTCTTGTGAATGACCATAATAGCGCTAGCACAGTGTGGCCTCTTTAACAAGTAAAGAAATTGCTAACGTAGCTAACATGTACTGAATTAGCTAATTCACGTTGCATTAAATAATATGTTATAAATAAAAGTTATACCCCGACCCCTAAAAAAGAAATTTAAGCCAGATGCTTCATATGTGTCAGGACCTTTAGCAAAATCTGTTTTTATGGTGCTTTCTATCGGCCAGGCGTTCCACCCCTTGTCCAGATAGCTACTAGAATGTTACTAGGCACGACCGAATAAGATCACCGTCACAGCTTTTTCAGAAAAGTGACCAGGGTGCTCATTCAGACATTAAGCTGACATGTTCAGATTCCATCAGATTAATGGAAAGGTGTGTATGTCTGAAAGGGACTATAATGCATTCAGGCAAAATATCACCTCTAAGGATATTTACAGTATTGATCTGAATTAAATTGTTCTCCCACAGTGTTAATGTATGTTTATGCATTTGAAAAATGGATAAACTTCAAATCCTTCACAGGCATCGAGCTACTCCTCCAAGTCATTATACGATACATTCATATTGCCTCGTGCGGGTAAGACAGTACAGCAGCACACATAAAATCAAACTGTCTTTATACAGTGAATTGAGTAAATATAAAGGAGAAGAGAAATACTCTAGTGAGAGACAAAATAGCTGTTGTATCACCAGCGCTGCCGAATAAATGGTCCTCTGTGTTAATGCTGTATTCGCCTGATATAAATGAGACTGTACAGCAAAATGATTCTTAGCAAAGCTCAGGATTTATAGCAAATTGAATCAGTCAGCAAAATGGAAAACAGTGAACACAAAACAAAGGCAGTGCATCTTTTACAGTTAACATGAGAGCTATGTGCAGCCACTCTAGAGCTACTGTTCACACTATCCGCATTGAGGCTGGTTCACCATCCCATTCTGCACCTTCACAGTTTTATTCTCGCCTAACGTTTACCTGTGAAGGTGCTCAGCCTTTGTCAGAGACACTTTACCTTGACGTACTTACCAATACACATTTATTTGCTGCTGTGCTGAGACGTTCAGTTGATCGATTTACTGAATCTGAACCTAAATCCACTTATTAAATCCAAATCATTGTAAATTCCTGATTGACTCTCAGCTTTAGTGTTCATCATTTCCATGTATCTAAAGTTATCAGTAACTATAAGTGAAAGATTCTAATCAGACCTGCTGTTTGGCAAGAAGACAGAAACACGACAGGTTTTAACTACTAAATGGACCAATATCAACATTAATGAAGCTAGCGCGTGAAAAAATGTGCAAACAAGGAAAAGGAATGTGCATTAGGAAAATAAAAAATGATAGCACTTAAAAACATAAGTCTAAGTTTTTTATTTAAAACATTGTTATTTAACAAGAGAGCCAAAATATCAGAAATGTTAAATGTTGTCTACTGTAACACACAAGTAGCCAAACAAGAAGTTCACAGAAATGGTCTGACACTGGTAAAATTCTGATTCAGATCAGGAACGGACAGATGAGAGAATACAGTAAGTCAGCAGGGATGAGAATTGGATTCAGCGCCAACTTTCATTACGACATCAGTGAAGTTAAATATCTGTGGAGTTTGGACTGTTGCTCTGACAAACTGGGCTTTGAGAAATGAATGAAAATGTTTCACAGTTTTCTGACATTTTACAGACCTAAGTGATTAATCAGATTAACCAGTACTAATATTAATTATTAGCTGCAGCCCTAATCACAGAGAATATTCTGGTTTTCAAAAGGAGCCATAGAAAATGACTCAGGAAACCTTTTTATGTCTCACACAATAGAACAGCCTAATGCCAGACTATCACCACTGTCAGATGATACAAAAATGTTTAATGTGTTTCTGTTGAGGACAAAAACAATTCATTCACTACCTGCATTTTAAATGACTGCTTATAATACACTCTCACATATAGAGAGTCTCAGACTGACCTTTAAATCTCAATAACATTAACATAAACATCAGCTGATGTACAGAGTTTCCCAGAATCCTCTGCCTTGACTGGCCTCATTCAGGTTCACTCATTGTTCACCCTCCACTGTCCCTCTCTCTCTCTCTCTCCCTCCTCGTCAGCAGAGGTGCAGGGGAAAAAATGAGTAATTTTTCTCCTCATTAACTTCCTGATTGGTTTTGGACTCCAATTTTTGCCGTCTGCAATTTGTCACCATTTCCAAACTGGCAGCCCAATCGTTAATACTAATGTTTGTGTAGCTAAGTGCTCTTTTTTGTGCGTCTACTTGTACAGCAATAACAGCATGTTGGTGGGGGAGAGCAGCTGTGAATTAGCCCATTCACCGTTAATTCTCTGCCTGTTCATCAGCAGCAAATCTATGATGTAATTAAAGGCCGAATGCAACTGGACATGTTCGTTTCACTGGGGATGTTAAATCACGACACACACCGCTGTACACATGTTCTCTGCTGCCGCTGTTCTGTTTAATACAGATTAATGCCTGAAACTGCACAAAGCCTTGTTCTCAGTTAGCAGACAAGCACCTGTTGGTGACTGCAACTAATTACAAACCAAGTTATTGTCATCGTCAGTTACATTTCGCTGGCACCTGTCTGAGTGATCAGGAGGTGTCTGGTCTAAACAAATGCCAAGTTGTGGTACAAGGACACCAAATATTCTCTGATTTAGCCTCCCCACTGAGAAGATTTACTGCTTTTCTTTGTCATATATCACTAAATATTTTTGGGAATCTGGATCATGCTCAAACAAAACTAGACACATTAAGATTTTGGACAATTTCTTGATGTTTCAGGGATTAAAAAAAAAAAAAATTCCACAGATCTCTAACATGAGTCTCGTTCTCAGTTTCTAAGGTGAAATCTAGAAATTGAAGTGTAAAAATATTCAATGTACAATATTAAATGAAAACAGCAACAAATCTTCACCTTTAAGAAGCTATAACTGCAGAGTGTTTTACATTTTTTACATACACAATCATTAATGACTTGATTTGAACTTAACTATATTTTAGAAACAAATATTGTACTTTTTTCTCCACTACATTCATTTGATAATTTTAGTGACCTGATGAATAAAACTAAGTACAAGTGTAACTAGAAGATCCCTGGTGAGAAATTCTACTCAGCAATACTTCAGTGTATAAGTATATAAATATATATAATAAAGCTCCAGCTTTACCAGCTGCAGCATTAGATGTGACGTACAGAATTATGCATCAATACTTATAATGCAATAATACGATATAAATAAATGTGAAATGTGCCATTACGTTTCGGTACTTTTACTTTTGGTGTTTTTATATTTTGATGTGAATGCTTTTGCACTTTTACTTAAGTAACATTTTGAAAGTAGAGGTCTCACTTGTAACAGTATTTTTAGTGTGGTAACTGCTACTTGTACCAAGTAATTCTTCCACCTCCACTTGGCACTAGGTATCAGAAAATGGTACAAGGCGCTAAACGCCTGCTTACTTTACCTCTGACTGAACAGCTCTGAATGTCTTAAATAATTGCTTATATACACATCCTACAGTTACAGAGTAACCTTATTTGGATTCATGTATGAGAAAGTTTTTTTTTAGCTACCACATTTGATTTCCCACTTTCCTGAGACTATCCAGGCTGAGGTCAGGGTCCTTGAGTTTTTCAGCTGTGGCCACACAGTGTTGCTGATACAGCACATTTTGGGTGCGAGTTGTAATAACTGTCCTTGTGAACCTGACACCACAAAAAGAGATGGGCTGCTGTAAAACAGAGTGTACTTGAGGTTCAGGTTGTGTACAAAAATCAGTTTGTAACAAGACAGACTTTTCCTGTTTGTTATATTCAGGACATTTATTCTCCTGAATGAACTTTTGCCCTTTTCCCAGTCACTCAGCACTCTATATAAGATTTCCAAACTATTAAAAAGTCTTTGTGTGGATTAACAAAAGGAAGCTTTCTTAACCTCCCACTTGTCCTGTTAAGAGAGGGAGGGAGGGAGGGAGGGAGGGAGTGAATGAAGGTGCAATCATTTCTTCTGCTACCAAAGACGGGAACAAAAGCCCAGATGTGAGAGGCGACGGTAATTCAGTCTGATCCAGCAGGGATAAGCTCTCTCTGTGGGTTTCATACTATACACTCACCCACCATACACAGGGGTCATGGAGGTAGATGACACTGAAGTAAACACACACAGGGGCGTGCACACACGCATACACCATTAAGTATTACACTGTATGTGTATTACAAAAAGTTTCTGCAGTGGCTTCTCTGACCAACAGTCCAAAATCCAAAGTTACTGTTTTTATTTTCACATTAGATAAAGAAAAGCAGCAAATTCTCCCATCTGAGAAACTGGAATGGAGTATTTTCAGCATATTTAGCTTAAAAAAAACTAGAAGACTTAAAACAATTAATTATTTAAAAAATTGTCGATTAATAATCTGGCAATTGGCATTGATTTATTTCAGTCATTTCAATTTATCCTGCAGGCGAGATGGGTGTCTTCAAGGCAAACCATCCAAAGATATATCAATAAAAACAAAAACGTCAAACAGAGGACCAGGGGATCCCCAGTTTATCCTCTGGGAACCAATATTGCAAAATTTGATGACAATCCATCTAATAGTTGTTTAAATGTTTCAGTATCAAGCAAAGCAGTTTACTAGGTGGTTCAGATCTTTCAGCTGCATCTCATCAGGCCCATTTTTCAGAGTGGAACCAGCATCTTACCCACCTCAGTTATCTACTGCAAGTGTTAACTACAGTGTGGCACTGTTCAATGTGCAAGCTGTAAGTAAATGAAAACAACCTTCTGGATGTGTCAGTGCCATTCAGGGACAGGGACAGTTAAAGGAGACTATTGTCAAGGTGACAAAACTTCAGTCTTAAGAATGAAGAGGTGCCTGTCACA